AGTCTGCAAACTCATTCCTGCCTGACGCTGAGATTGCAGTACCCGTCGCTCGTAAACCTGTAACGCGGTCTCAGGCCGTTAAAGTAATGAAGGATGAATCAATCTATGAATAGAAAAAACAACTGGATAAATGATTATGTTAAAAATGTTATTTGAGGGGGGGGGGGGGGGAACAAAGGAAGTTAGTTTAGTTTCCGTTTCGCACGTGCCCTTAGACGGAAACTAAACGAATAAATATCCTCCTTCCGTGCTCTTCAGTAAGGAAAGGAGGAGAAAGCAATGCAATGATTAAATAGAAATCATAAAATAAACTTTAGTAATTAAAATGTAAGTTAGCATGCATAAAAACTCACCTACATGGAGATGGGGAGGAGAGGTGAAGTGGAAGAAGGGAGAAATGGAGGTGAATTAGGTAACGAACATAGAATTCGTAAATTATGAAACATTTCTGTAATTGCACCAAAGTGCTATAACTGACGTCTATATTTGCAAAAAGGAAAGGAGACGTTAGGAAAGAGGTTATTTATAGGAATTATCAATTTTTTACATGTACAATAATATGTAGATGTAGTGAATACGTGAAATCATTAGTAATGAATCACAATAAGTAGAAATAAATGTGCTCATTAGAAGATGTCGTAATGAAGTAAAGTCCGTAATCTCAGAAATCCTTTAATCGTGCGTGATTGAAATCCCAAAATCTTATCCTGTGTATCATAGGTTTCTGCTTTTTTGGGGTTAAATGTTGACACACTTCATACTGACACTTTTTTGGTATTGGTCATTGCCTCTCCGTCTTTCCCGTCTATGCCATTATTGTTTCGAAGTAATTGAATGATGTTTATTTATTATCAATGTTTAGGAAGTATATTATTGTATATACTTATATACTATATATTACCGTTTCATGGCTAGCATGGACAACCAGGAGAAAGAGAAGAACGAAGTAAGTGAACCAAAATTATTGCCTAACAAGTTTAAAAAAGAGTGATTGAAATTCTTTTTAAATAGTTATTATTCCAGCAAAACCCATTAAGATTAGTAGGTTTTGCTGGAATCAAAACTTCCTTTTTAATTGGTAACTAGTACAGGCGTTAAACTTGAACATCTCAGAGGGTGTTAAGCGATGTAATAGTCCATGTAAACCTTACTATGATATAATTATCTAAGAAGTTTACAAAGTGTCTTTTTGGTTAGTCTGTACTTATAAGTGAAATTTATTCTTTAATATAGCATTTTATTAAATGTATCCATGTCCATAACCAGCGTTAAAAAGCTGTTCTTTGGTATGTTGAAGTCTTTCTATAAAATCATTTTTCTTAGAACAAGTTCTCGCAGTTCTAAGTATCTCTGTGTATATTGTGTTAGTTTTGATTTTACGTGAAATTTTAGAAGTAGCATTAGGGAATCTTTTTATGGGGAAATTGAAGCTATCTGTTTTATTAAACATTCTAGTATATATTTTATTAGCTTCTATATTTATTTCTAGATCTAAATAATGACAACGGTAATGATTGATATGTGTGACTTCTAATTCCAATGTGTTATTATATATTGTTTTGAGTTTTTCAAAAACATTTTCTGTATTAGAATTGTGTATAATTAGTAAGTCATCCATGTACCTGAATGGTATAATTGTAAAGTGATAATTATTATTATGCTTGATGGAGTAAATATATTCAAAGTAGGATAATGTGAGGTCTGCTAATACTGGGCTTACATTACTTCCTTGTGGAACACCTGTTTTTTGAACAAAGAGACAGTCTGAAAAACCACAGAAACTATTTTGCAGAAGAAAATCTAATAAGTAAATCAAATCGGTGATACTGTAATATTTATATTTGCTATGAGTTCTGCTATTACAATAAAAAATGTTATATCCATTGGTTGCAATCAAATTCTTATTGCTGTTTTTAAAACAAATTTTAATGACTTCCTTAATATTAGAGATAATAACATTGTGAGGCAGATTAAACATGTTAGTGAAATCCGCTGAAAATAACTTCATATTGTCTATGTATATGTTTTGTAGTTGTTCACTGATATTAATATTGTTTATGGACCAGTAACCTACAAAGTTAGCATTCCTACTTTTGATAGCACTATTGTATTTGATGAAGTGGTTTTTGAAAAATGTAAGAAGTTTTGCCAGTTCCACGGAAAGCGGTTTTAGGCTACTGGTTTTTGCTCCTGTTATGAATCTAAATTTTATAGGTGACTTATGAAGTTTAGGTATTGCATAGATTATTGGGATGGAAACGTCACTATCGGATTTTATATGGTTATTTTTATTGAAATTTGTGTGTTTATTTATTATATCCGCTTTACTTCTATTATTAACATGTTTATAAGTGCCGTTAGTGTCCTTATTTTTCAATGTTCCCGTGGAATCGTATTCAATACCCATTTCATTCATAATAACCAGTATATAAAACTTTTTGCATACTATTCCAAAGTTGTTACTGGCTTTATCTAATGGACAAAAAACAAAATCTTTCTGTAAATCTTGTATGGTTTTTATAAGTTTCCCATTACACGTTATTGGTTTTACTAGTTGCTTCCAATACAGTTTTGGTTTGAGTGTTTTGTAGATTTTCGCTTTCATATTATCATATAGTGTATTAATCGTAAGATCGTTGAGTTTATACTTATTTTTAATAACTTGTGCATAAGTTTCTACTGTTCCATCTATCCATTCTATTACTTTCCTTTTAGTGATATTTTGAGGTATTCTATATTTGCATCCTTTATTAAGTAATCCTTCCACTATTCTGTTTTGTATAGCTTTAGTGTTGCCTGTAACTATGTGTTTGTGATATTGATCAACGAGTGTGTTGTATCTTGGTGTTTCACATATACAGCTAGATTCCAGAATTTTAACAATTTCTCTATTGTTAAGATTTTTCAGTGTTTTGTTATAGTTGAAGACTAATTTAGATAGTGTGTTGTCATAGTTATACACAATCCTAAATGGTATATATTCAACTGTAGAGTTTTCCATTATAGTTCGTTTTATATAGGTAGAATTCATTATCTTGTCGAGATTAATGTAGTCCAACACGTTGTCCAAATAATAAGTAGGAAGATTGCAAAATAATTTATTGTTTGCTACTTTATTTTTATTGTTAATATCAAAGTGGAATTTACATAAAAGGCAAAGCAGTAAAAACTTTTTATTAGTATCAATGCTAGAAAGGAACGAATCGGAGTAGCATAGATTAATAAGCTGTTTAATATATCTCTTTTTTATGCTGTATAAGTCTGTTTTGATTTTTCTATAGTTAGCTGTGTTTATCAAGGAATTAATGAAATAGTGAGGTCGTTTCTTGGTTGTTGATTGTTTTGATTGTTTGTTAATCTATTCTCATTTTATTCTTGGTTTTATTTTTATTGCCTCTTACTCTTCGTTTTATAACTTTGAGTGCGAAGTAAGGATGGTTTGGTTTGTGTGTGAGAGGGTTAAAAATGTTAGAAATGTTGCCGTATCCCTTAATACAATCATTGTTACCGAAAGGGAAGGCAGTAATTAATAGTCTTATCCAAAAATTCTCTTTTTCTTGTAGTATGTGTTTATCTTTGTTTTCTGGAGAACTGTCCAGAATTGAAAAATTGAAAAGTTTTTTGTTGCACTTACTATTAAAGTGTTTGTAGATGTATTTGTTGGAGTCGTTTTTATATATATGGTAAGTGTGCTCCCTCATTCTATCCTTAAGTTTTCTAGTCGTTAGTCCTACATATTGATAACCGCATTCTAAGCAATTAAGGCAGTAGATTACGTTTTTACTGCAGCAGTTAGCGTTACTTATCTATACAAGTGTTAATTCTTAAACCTGTGGTGTTGCTTACAATGTATTCTTTTTGTCTACAAGTTCACATTTATTGCATTCTGTATTACATTCTACAGGAATATGATTTGTTCCAAAGTTTTCTAATATATAGTAATTGTTAACCCTGCTCTTGTAGAATACTTGTTTATTATAATAACAATCCTGATTAACTTGATATTGTAGTGGGCCATATAGGAAGTATGTGGGGGGCCCAGCCCACATACTGGGGGGGAAGTTTTAAGGGGAATGCCCTAGGCACTTGCGAGCCCATTTTGATAAACAGGATTTATGTAAGAATGTAAGTACCGCAAGGAATGTGTTGGCTCTTTTGAGGGCGTGGTACCTACCCCCTTGCTGGTAACACTTTTGTAACCCTATCAAAAGAGCCCCTATTGTTAAAGGGGTATGGCCCCCTTTATTAAGGTATGTGTGAAGAATGAGTAGGGAAGGTAAGAGAGAGGTAATGGGTAAAGGAAGGTAAAAAGGAATGTGTGATACCCGGTAAGGAGGAAATATGTGGAAGTGTTTATACTAGGTAGTTATGAAGAGTTTGAGGAAGGAATTGTTAAGAAATTAACGGGTAAAAAAAAAGGAGAAGGTCTAATTCGACCATTGAAGTGTACGAGCAAGGTTAACAATAACCATATTAATTATTGCAGGAGAGATTTAATAAATGGCGTGCTGACTCTTTTCAAGAGACCATCAACAAACGTGTTTTGTTGGAATGGGTACGAATTGTTGGACTAGAGAACAAGAATAAGTGGAAGTTCGAAAGATTGCTGGCTCATCTTGCTAACGTTATCATCGGGTGGGTTGAATACATGTGTTATATTGCTATATTTGTTACTTTATAAGTATTACATTTTTGAAGTTATCCTTCTGATTCGTCTAAGCTTTCTGCTTTTACTTGGCCCACAAGTGCTGGCATTCATGATGGGATTGCCGCTATCCGAGTAAGAATGTGTTTAAGCTATTATGTAGTGATTAATGTATACGAAAGTATTTAGGCGAAGGTCTCTTATGATTTCTGGAAATACTTCATGTCTGAAGGGAAACACAAGCTATCTGATTATAATTCGGCAAATGGCACAAAAATAGCTTTGATTAAAGAGATGACCATGAAAGCAAGAGATGAAAACAATCTAGGGTAGTATACTTAGATAATTTTGAATTGACTGTGATGGATATTTACTTTATAGTTTGCTTTTGCGAAAAAAGATAACTGGTTTATACACGCAAAAGAAGCTAAAGCCTCCTGATATGTATGTACGCAAAGGATTCCTACACATTGGAAAGCATTTGGTAAGTAGTAAATTGGATCTAAACACAACAATTAGTAATAGAGGAATGTATTTCATTTTAT